CAGGGCCCAAGGGGCCTTTTTTTTTTTTTTTTTTGAGATGCAGTCTTGCACTATAGTCCAGACTGGAGTACAGTGGTGCGATCTTGGCTCACTGCAACCTCCGCCTCCTGGGTTCGAGCAATTCTCCTGCCTCAGCCTCCCGAGTAGCTGGGATTACAAGCACATGCCACCACACCTGGCTAATTTTTTATGTTTTTGGTAGAGATGGGGTTTTACCATGTTGGTCAGGCTGGTCTCGAACTCCTGACCTCCAGTGATTTGCCCGCCTCGACCTTCCAAAGTGCTGGGATTACAGGTGTGAGCTACCAGCCCGGCCTCCAAGGGGTCTTTAGTCAGCATGTGATGAATCCTGCCAGGACTGGATTCTTCCCTTCAGGGCAGCAGGTTCACTTCTATTCTAGGGTGTCTCTAGAAATGTCGTCCAGGAGCTAGGACCTGAGATGGGGTCCTCACCACTGCCTGGTGCCGTATCTTACTGTGGCTGAACGGGTATCTAAGATGCAAGACAACGTTCTCTTTACCCTTCTTTCTCTTCTCCTCAAATGGAAGAAAGGAGTTACTTTTGTTGCTGCAAGCTTCACTGGGATTGAGAGAGGAGTGGCATAAACACTCCCCCAGCTGTCCTGTCTGGTGTTTCAGTGTGTCATGCACTACCCTAGTCCACTGGCTCTTAAGTCTAGCATAGCATCAGGACTTGCCTAAGAATTGCAGTCCTTGTGTCCTAGACTGTCTTTCAAGTTCACTTAGGATCCCAGAGCACTTTAACCTGCGATTGCAAGGCTTGCTGAAACTCAAGTTTCAGCTTCTGGGATGGGCGCTTCCCCTCTGGGCTAGTGCTGTTCTAAATGGTCCCTCTGTGGGTAGGTGCTGACTGAGTTCAGCATGATTTTGCTTTCCATGTGATAGGGCAGCATTAAGTTCAATGCAAAATTCCTCAGTCACTGTGTTGTTCCTCCCCTGAGTGCGTGGGTTCTGCCTCCTAGCGAAGAAGCCACTGCCGGGGGTTGGGGGAGGGGTCGTGTTGGCCATTTAAGACTGTCTTTCCTACCCTCTTCAATGCCTCTTGGGCGATATGAAGTTAAAACTAGGTACTGTGATTGCTTGCTTGATTTTTGGTTCTAATGAAGGTGCTTACTTGTATGCAGATAGTTAAAATTAGGTGTTCCTGCAGAGTGTACAATTGGTGCAGGCTTCTGTTCTGCCATCTTTCTTCACCCCCCTATCTTGGCTTTTGGCATGCCTTCCTCATTAAGCTTACCTATTTATTTCTGGCTTTTGATTTTAAATTGAGAGATATGGGACTCTTCACCTGAACACTTAGATGTCATTGTAGAGTTATTAATTGGCCTAATTTCAATGTTGTTGTATCCCAAGAAATAGGGATGCCTGAAGAGATGGAGAGAGATGGGAATGGTCAGTCTGTGGAGCAGTAAGACACACATATTTGCCTTGGCACACAAATTTGCCATCTTATGTTAGCACTGTGTGTGGTGCCCCAAAACAATTAGAATAGTAACAACAAAAATCACCACAGATCACCATAACAGATACAATGATAATGAAATAGTTTGAAATATTGCAAGAATTGGCTGGGCGCGGTGGCTCACCCCTGTAATCCCAGAACTTTGGGAGGCCGGGGCAGGCAGATTACCTGAGGTCAGGAGTTTGAGACCAGCCTGACCAACATGGTGAAACTCCATCTCTACTAAAATTACCAAAAAATGTAGCCAGGCGTGGTGGTGGGCACCTGTAACCCCAGTTACTCAAGAGGCTGAGGCAGGAGAATTGCTTGAAACCAGCCGGGAGGCAGAGGTAACAGTGAGCCAAGATCACGCCTTTGCACTCCAGCCTAGGTGACAAGAGTGAAACTCTGTCTCTAAAGAAAAAAAAAAAAAAAAGGAATATTACAAGAATTACTATAATGTGAGATAGAGACACACAAGAGCACATTGTTAGAAAAATGGCACCAATAGACTTACTTGACATTAGGGTTGCTACAAACCTTCAATTTGTAAAAAATGCAATATTTGCAAAATGTAGTAAAGCAAATCACAATATAGTAAGGTATACCTGTAGTGTATTTATAACAGCTATTTTATCATCCTTGTGTTATAATCCTATTATCTGTGACATTTTTATATTGTGACTGTTGATTAATTTTTCTTCTCATTATGCATTATGTTTTTCTGCTTCACATCTCTTTTTATTGAATGTCAGACATTGTGGTTTACATATAGGTGGATGCTGGACTTTTTTGTGTGTTCTTTTGGATACTTTTTGGCTTTAGTCTGGTTTGCAGTTTTTTGGAAATGGTTTGATCCTTTTGACCTAATCTTTGTTAGAGTGGTTCCAGAATAGCTTTTAATTTAGGAATAATTTGTCCTCACTACTGAGGCATTATTCTTCTAAGGACTCTACTTAGTACTCTTATCTGTCAGGAGGTCTTTCCACTCTGGCTGGTCTTGTGTGAACTTTAAGAATGTCCTTTTTTTTTTTTTTTCTGGTGATTCTTTCTCTGGCCGTAGTTTAATCACACACATGCACAGATCAGTACTCAGCTGAAACCTTGAGAGGACTCTTCTGCAGCTCCCTTCTTTTCTGGTTTTCTGATTTGTAGCTTTTAGCTGTCTTGGACTCTCCAACTCTGAACTGTCTCCTCATGTTAGGAGGATTGATGGACCGCTGAGACCTGGAAATGTCAGGTACTTGTAGGGTTACCTTGCTTATTTCTTTTCTCCAAAAGATCACTGTCTTGTGCTGCCCAGTGTCTGTTGTCTGGAAACTATAGTTTAATATATTTTGTCTATTTTCTAATTATTTAAGGGGAAAGGGTAGACCTGGTTTCTTTTATTCCATTATAGCCTGAAGCAGAAGTCTTAACTTTTATTTCTCCCTCCTACAACTTACCTGATCAATTGACTAATTTGAGAAGAGGAGGAAGAATTTATAATTTGAAAATTTGTCACATACCTTTTTCCACACTAGCCTGTCGAAAAGCAAAAACTGACTCCTAAAACTGGACATTATTGTGATTATGTTTGGATAAGTGGCAATATAGCAGTATATTTCTTTTTGTATTTTTTATATCTAAATCACTGACTCTGTGAAGCCATTGATTTGATAAACCAAAATACGGTGTAGTAGTTACCCCTTATCAGCGGTTTTGCTTAAGGCAATTTCAGTTACCTGTAGTCAACTGTGGTTTGAAAACATTAAGTGGAAAATTCCAGAAATAACTTTTAATTTTTAAATTGCGTGCCATTCTGAGTAGCGTGATGAAATCTCACACTATCCTGCTGCATCCTGCCAGGGACATGAGTTCAGTTTATCTGAGCTATATACACTACCCACCTGGTAGTTCACTTAGTAACCTTCTTGGTTGTCAGATTGACTGTTGGTGACACCACAGTGCTTGTGTTCAAAGAACCCTTGTTTTATTTAATAATGCCCCCAAGGCTTAAGAGTAGTGGTGCTGACAATTCAGATGTGCCAGAGAGAAGCTGTAAAGTTCCTCCTTTAAGCAAAGAGGTGAAAGTTCTCAAATTAATAAGAAAAAAAAAATATGCTGAAGTTGCTAAGATCTATGGTAAGAATCAATCTTCTATCCATGAAATTGTGAAGAATGAAAAAGAAATTTATGCTAGTGTTACTATCGCACCTTAAACTGCAGAAGTTACTGCCATAGTGCATGGTGTTTAGTTATGATTGAAAAGGCGTTAAATTTGTGGGTGGAAGATCTGAACAAAAATGTGTTCCAATTGATGGCAACATGTTGTGCTGGGCTAACTTAATCTCAATTAAATTAAACTTTATCATAGTTATGTATGTATAGGAAAAAACCTGGTATATATAGGGTTTGTTACTGTATGAGGTTTCAGGCATCCGCTGGAGGTCTTGGAACATAACTCCCAAGGATGAGGGAGGACTACTATGTATGCAAATGATGGATTATCCAGTTTTTAGTTAAAATGTTGCCTTAAAACTCTAATTAGTGGAAAGCAGTTTGACAGTTTGTTGTAAAGGTATATCCACATTTACTATATAACCCAAGACTTTTGTTTAACTAAGGGAAATGAAAGCAAATGTCTACACAAAAACTTGATGTTAATATTTATAGTAGTTTTATTAATTATAGCCCCAATCTGGAAACATGGATAAATGGAATACTACTCAGCAATGAAAAGGAATACATTACTAATACAACAACATGAATGATTTTCAAAACTGTGCTGAGCAAAAGAAGCCAGACATTAGTCCTTCAATGTAAATTAAAAACAAAACAAACAAACAAAAAAAAACAGACACAAGAGTCTATAAAATTCTTGAAGAAGAAACAAATTAATCTATAGTGGTAGAAATCAAAGAAGTAATTTTGTGAGGAGGATAAGTATTGGGCTACCACAAGGAAACTTAGTGGAATGATGGGAATGTTCTATATCTTGATTGGTTAGTTAGCTGCACAGGTATATGCATTTGTCAAGACTCATCAAACTACTCTTAAAATATGTTTATTCATTTTATTATATGAAAATTATATCTGAAAAAGTTGGCTAAAGAAAAGTCTACTAAGTGGGTTTAACAAATAACCTAAAAATATTCACTGCAATCTGAAATGGACTGGGCTCAGTGGCTCACACCTGTATCCCACCACTTTGGGAGGCTAAGTCAGGAGGGTCACTTCAACCCAGGAGTTTGAGACCAGCCTGAGCAACATAGTGAGACCCCATATCTATTTTTTTTAATCTGAAATGTTTAAATATATACGAACTTATATACACATGTCATAGAAATACGCACATTCACAAACACACACCACATATTAACAACCTGGATTCCGATTCTGTTCTAAAATGCATAGTTCTTTTCAGCCTTTTACTTCCTTATGTATGAAATGAGGTTAGTTTAGAAATTCTTTGTATCTGGGTGTAAAAAGAAAGAAGTTAATAAGTTTAAAGTTAATCTTTTAAAATTGTCTTGACTTAAGTCATTTTTTTTTCCAGAAATCTTCCTGCCAAATCTGTGGAAGAAGCTTTACGTCACCGACAAGAATATGATGAGATGGTGGCTGAGGCTAAAAAACGAGGTATAAAATTTAACTCCAAATGGTGTAATTTTCTGATTTTAATAGGAAGATGGATGGTAAAATTCATCAAGTCTATCTTCAAGATGATACTGAATTCTTTTTTTTTTTTTTTTTGAGACAGGGTCTTGCTCTGTTGCCCAGCCTGGTGTGCAGTGGTGCACTCACAGCTCACTGTAGCCTGACCTCCCAGGCTCAAGCAGTCCTTTTACCTCTCAGCCTCCCAAGTAGCTGGGACCACAGGCACATGCCACAACGCCTGGCTAGTTTTTTGTATTGTTTGTAGAGATGAGGTTTTACCATGTTGCCCATGCTTTTATTTTTCTCTACTATTTTTATAATTAAGTTTGTTCTAAAGGAGGAATAAAATGACATACCAGGATCATAGTTTTTCTGCATGTACTTTTACAAAACTAATAGGAGGAATCTTGAGATTACAGTCATAAAACTTGGACTACTACTATCTGAGTTTATAAATATAAAGATAATAATTCATGAATCTATTAATGAATTTCACTTTTTACCATTTTTATATTTTATAATTAATAATTTCTAATTATTTTATAATTTAATAATTTTAACTTTCTATATGACTGTGAGAATATGATTTGAAACTTAAATACTCTTTTGTGACTTACAGAGTCTCTCCAGAGGCCCAATTGTGTCATTTGATTAGGCACATAAATGCATACTCTTATGTGTATAATTTACATATTTATTCATTCTCTTCTCCAACCAAAAAAAATAATATCAGGATAATTTAACAGTGTTTATTTCCTGACAGTTGTTATTTCAGGATAAACATACATTTTTAGAAGATATTGCACAGCTGTATACATTTTTAGACTTAACATCTAATGCCTTATTAACAAATGATTTTTTTCCTTTTACTTCAGTGAATGGAACATTATAATGGTATACAGTTCTGCTTTATGGTTTTATTTTGGAAATGAAGTTATTTATTTAATGTTAAGTAAAAATAGGATATATAAGGCTAGTTATATCTTTCTAAAAGGCTTGCTTATTTAAACATTAGTTGAGTGTAGTTTACGGAATTCGAAATATTTCTGACATATCCAATTCAGTTTTTATTTATTTATTTATTGCTTATTTTTATCTTTTTGAGACAGGGTGTTGCTCTGTCACCCAGGCTGGAGTGCAGTGATGCGAACTTGGCTCACGGCAGCCTCAGTCTCCCAGGCTCAGGAGATCCTCTCACCCCAGCCTCCCAAGTAGTTGGGACCATAGCGTGCACCGCCATGCCCAGTTAATTTTTGTATTTTTTTGTAGAGACAGGTTTCGTCATGTTGGTCAGGCTGGTCTTAAACTCCTGACCTCAAGTGATCCGCCCACCTCGGCCTCCCAAAGTGCTGGGATTTTAGGTGTAAGCTACCACATCCAGCCTAAGTTTTTATTTTATTTTATTTTTTTTTATTTTTATTTTTTTTTGAGACGGAGTCTCGCTCTGTCGCCCAGGCTGGAGTGCAGTGGCTGGATCTCAGCTCACTGCAAGCTCCACCTCCCGGGTTTACGCCATTCTCCTGCCTCAGCCTCCCGAGTAGCTGGGACTACAGACGCTCGCCACCTCGCCCGGCTATTTTTTTGTATTTTTTACTAGAGACGGGGTTTCACCGGGTTAGCCAGGATGGTCTTGATCTCCTGACCTCGTGATCTGCCCGTCTCGGCCTCCCAAAGTGCTGGGATTACAGGCTTGAGCCACCGCGCCCGGCCTAGTTTTTATTTTTTATTATGTATGTATCTATTTTAGAGACAGGGTCACGCTCGTTGCCTAGGCCGGAGTGCAGTGATACAATTAGAGCTCACCGCAGCCTCAAATTCGTGGGCTCAAGCAATCCTCCTGCCTCAGCCTCCCTGGTAGCTGGGATTGTAGATGCATGCCTCCACACCCAGCTCTTTTTTTTTTTTTTTTTTGAGACAAAGTCTCACTCTGTCACCCAGGCTCCAGTGCAGTGGCGCAATCTCGGCTCACTGCAACCTCCGCCTCCTGGGTTCAAGTGATTCTCCCACCTCAGCCTCCAGAGTGGCGGGGATTACTGGTGCCTGCCACCAGGCCCAGCTAATTTTTGTATTTTTAGTAGAGACGGGGTTTTGCCATGTTGACCAGGCTGGTCTCAAACTCTTGACCTCAAGTGATCCACCTGCCTTGGCCACCCAGAGTTCTGGAATTACAGGCGTGAGCCACCATGCCCAGCCCCAGCTCATTTTTTTAAAGTTATTTTGTAGAGATGGTGTATCTCTGTGTTGCCCAGACTGATCTCAGACTCTTGGCCTCAAGCAGTTCTCCCACCTGGGCCTCCCTAGAGTGTGTTAACTGGCTCCAGTTAAGTTTTTATTTATTTTTAAAGTTTTTACTATATGATTACTATGTAAGATAGTTTTTGGTACTGGATGATCTTTAAAGCATGTTATGATAGGAAAAATATTGAACTGAGAAATCAGATGGCCACAGCTTTAACCTTGTGTGATACTACCTGGGTGTGATACTCTGAACAGGCCTAATGTTAGTTTTCTCATGCGTAAAGTGTGAGAGGCAGGTCAGCTTAATCAGGACTTTGAAGCTTCTCTTTCATCATTTTTTTGTTGTTGTTGGTAAAGTAGTGGAACATTTTGCCCAAGAAATCTTATAGAATGTGAATACATAAAACAAATAAAAGAAAGTAGAGATTGTTGGCCAGGCGTGGTGGCTCACGCCCGTAACCCCAGCACTTTGGGAGGCTGAAGTGGGCGGATCACGAGGTCAGGTGTTTGAGACCAGCCTGGCCAGCATGGTGAAACCTTGTCTCTACTAAAAATACAAAAAATTAGCTGGACATGGTGGTGTGACCCTGTAATCCCAGCTACTCGGGAGGCTGAGGCGGGAGAATCGCTTGATCCCGGGAGGCAGAGGTTGCAGTGAGCCGAGATCGCACCACTGCACTGCAGCTTGGGTGACAGAGTGAGACTCTGTTTCAAAAAAAAAAAAAGGAAAGTAGAGATTGTTTACTTGGCCTTCTGCTTGCCCCTCAAGATGGTTTCTAAGGCATATCTGAAAAAACAGTTTGAAAACAGTTTGGCTGGCTGGTCTCTGACATACTCACTGGTTCTAAAATTACATAAAGTTTTGATTTATGACTCACTTGCCTCTGCATTTGAGACATCTCTTCTTCTGAAATTGTGACCTTTGATTTTCAGAGATGTATTTTCTTGCCCCAACTTTTGCCTTAGAATGTAAGAGATGTACTGTTAATATATATGTTTTGGGGGACATTTTAAAATTTCAAACTAATTAGTAAAGTGAAACACCATATTAAAAAGTGCTATTGAAAAAATCATTTTTGAGTGTCCTGTGGGTTATGTCAGAAAATTTATAAACCCTTGTAGGAAAATAGGTATTGGTTAGTTGCCCACAGTTGTTTGTTTTTTATATAGTTAATTCGTAAGAAATTTGACTTCATAGGTTAAGTGTAAATAGAAATATGTGATAAAGTAATCTATTTAAATTATTTTTCTGACTTTTTATTCCATTTACTTTTATAGTAGCACAGGAGATGTTATTTTAAAATTATGTTAATAGCTGGGCATGGTGGCACACATGTGTAGTCCAAGCTGCTCAGGAAGCTGAGATGTGAGGATTTTTTTAAGTCCAGGAATTCAAGGCCACCTGGGCAATGTGGCGAGACCCATCTCTAAAAAAAGAGAAAACAAAGAAAAGAAAATTATGTTAATCAAGTTCATTTACTTTCACTTTTTCCCACCCTTTCTTTCCCTTTCCCTCCCTCCCTTATTTCCTCCTTTCCTCTTATGATAATATTCTTTTTAAGAAAGTCTATTTTGTAGAGTTTAGGTAGATGGAGAAGAGGACTTTGATCTAGCTTATTTGTATTGAAATAATTTTTACTCGTTTAAAACAGAAATTAAGGAAGCGCATAAAAGAAAAAGAATAATGAAAGAACGATTTAAGCAGGAAGAAAATATTGCAAGTGCAATGGTAATTTGGATCAATGAAATACTGCCCAATTGGGAAGTAATGTAAGTAAGCAGACTTTTCCTGAATTCCCATTTGTCTCTGAAGAGCTCCTGTTTCTGATTCTGTATTTTTATTATTCCCAGCATGTATTTTATGCTTTGGCTAAATTATACTATTAATTAATGCCTGAAAATTTCCATATTTATGTCTGTGCCTTTGCTTTTGTAAGTCCCTCAGTGTCTACCACCTACTTCCCTTACTGACCATCCTCTGTGTCTGCTAAGTCTTACCTATCCTTTGGGACCCAACTGAAATGCTAATTGATGTATAAAACTTTTAATGTCTTTAGTTACTGTATTTTCTTAATGCAACATACCATCAATTGTAAGATGCACTATTGATGTAATAGCTATTTGGAAAGAAAATATTAAATATGTAAATGCATTATAAGATGCATTTATTAATATTAAAGTGGTTTTTTTTTTTTTTTTTTTTGAGATGGTGTCTTGCTGTGTCACCCAGGCTGGAATGCAGTGGCCGGATCTCCACTCATTGCAAGCTCCGCCTCCTGGGTTCACGCCATTCTCCTGCCTCAGCCTCCCTAGTAGCTGGGACTACAGGTGCCCGCCACCTCGCCCGGCTAGTTTTTTGTATTTTTTAGTAGAGACGGGGTTTCGCCATGTTAACCAGGATGGTCTCGATCTCCTGACCTCGTGATCTGCCCATCTCGGCCTCCCGAAGTGCTGGGATTACAGGCTTGAGCCACCGCGCCCGGCCTAGTTTTTATTTTTTATTATGTATGTATCTATTTTAGAGACAGGGTCACGCTCGTTGCCTAGGCCGGAGTGCAGTGATACAATTAGAGCTCACCGCAGCCTCAAATTCGTGGGCTCAAGCAATCCTCCTGCCTCAGCCTCCCTAGTAGCTGGGACTACAGGCACCTGCCACTATACCTGGCTAATTGTTTTGTATATTTAGTAGAAACGGGACTTCACCATGTTGGCTAGGCTAGTCTGAAACTCCTGGCCTCAAGTGATCAGCCTGCCTCAGCTTCCCAAAGTGCTGGGATTATAGGTGTGAGCCACTGCACCCTACCATGATGTTTCTTGAGGTTTTTTTTTTTTTTTTTTACGAGGTCTCACTCTGTTGCCCAGGCTGGGGTGTAGTGGCACGATCATGACTCACTGCAACGCCGACCTCCCTGGGCTCAGGTGATCCTCCTCCCTCAGCCTCCTGAGTAGCTGGGACTACAGGTATGTGCCAACATGTCCAGTGAAGTTTTGTATTTTTGATAGATATGGGGTCTCACCGTGTTGCCCAGGCTGGTCTTGAACTCTTGGGCACAAGCAATCTGCCTGCCTTGGCTTCCCAAAGTGCTAGGATTACAGGTGTGAGTCACCTGCCTGGTGCAATGTGATGTTTTGATATATGTTTACATTATGGAATGATTAAATCAAGCTAATTAACAAATCCATCAGCTCACGTACTTCTCAGTATTTTGTGGTAAAACATTTAAAATCTGCTCATTTGGCAATTTTGAAATACACAGTTCATTATTATTTATTATAGTCACCATTCTATGTAATAGGTCATTAACACTTATTTCTTCTAATGGAACTTTGTACCCTTTGATCAACATCTCACCTTTCTCCATTCACTTTACCCTCCTCCGCCCATAACCACCATTCCACTCCCTACTTTTATGAGATTGACTTTTTTGGATTTCATATATGACTGAGATTATGTGTTGATTTTTCAGTGCCTGGTTTATTTCACTTGGCACAATATCCTACAGGTTCATCTGTGTTGTTGCAAATGACAGAATTTCTTTCTTACTGCCTTTTAACATAATATTTTAAAATATGCCTTATCTTCCCTCTCGACTAGAGGGTTGGGGATATCTTCTGCAATGCCTACTGTAGTTGGTACATTGGGAATTTGTTGAATATTGGCACAGTGTGACATATTATTTGAGGCACTTTACATAAGTAATTATATTTGATTTTTAGAACTTTCATCAGGTATATGTATTTTTACTCCCATTTATAAGGAAATTCAAGGTCAGAGAGGTTAAGTGATTTGCCCAGGGTTATACATTTAATTAATGGTTAAATTAGATTGGATCTCAGATCTATCTGACTTTAAAGCCGACAGTTTTTTTTTTTAGCAGACTTCACTGCTTCTCAAAAACTAGGACTTTACCCACTGTAGATTCTTGGTTGTTTTGTTTTTGGTACTGAATTGGTGACACATTTTTATGTCCCTTTTATCCTGTTTTTTAAATAATTGACTGCATATTTCTGATTTCTCATTGGCATTTATAAAACACATTTCCCTTTGGATTACTGTTGTCCCTTTGGGATCCTATACATCTTGTAGGATGTTGTTGCCTGCAAGCATGAACCCAAAGAAAAGAATGCATTACATACTTAATTCTCAATAGTCCTAAAAATGATTTGATCACTTGGCCATAGACTAAACATAATCCATCATGCAACTAGTATTTTTGGTATAAAAAGTAACTTTCTCCTTTTTTCTCCTCCTTTAATTCTAGGCGTAGTACAAGAAGAGTTCGAGAATTGTGGTGGCAGGGATTGCCCCCTAGTGTCCGTGGGAAAGTTTGGAGTCTAGCTGTAGGAAATGAACTAAATATCACTCCTGGTTTGTATTCTACGTTCAGTTACTCCCACATGTAGAAATAGCCATCTACAGAGTCACACAGCAGATTAGTAGAGTGACCATTAAAATAAATGGCCATTACCATATATAATGTCATTTTAAGAGCATGCTTCATCCCCCCAAAACCTGTTATGATTTAATAAGTTATTATAATTTATATAAGGATTTATGGGTTTTCCTTTAGTTTACAACTATCAATAATCTTCTTGGCATTCAAATATCAAAAACTTCTGGGATTCTACATGGCAGTGGATAATAAATATATATATAAAAAAAGAAAATAGTCAATTATGAAAAGGCTCCACTTTTGCACAAAAAACACATAAATACTGGAGGAAGGCTAAAAGTTTCTTTTCCTCCCTGTTTACCTAACTAAACCAGTCATTTTGGGATTTTTTTTTTTTAATTTAAAAATTTTAGGCCAGGCACAGTGGCTCATGCCTGTAATCCCAGCACTTTGGGAGGCCAAGTCAAGGGGATCACCTGAAGTCAGGAGTTCAAGACCAGCCCGGCAAACATGGCGAAACCATGTCTCTACTAAAAATACAAAAAAAATTAGCTGAGCATGGTGACACACGCCTGTAATCCCAGCTACTCAGAAGGCTGAGGCAGAAGAGTCACTTGAACATAGGAGGCGGAGGCTGCAGTGAGCCGAGATCGCACCTGTGCACTCCAACCTGGGCAAAAGAGCGAGACTCTGTTTATGAATGAATGAATGAATGAATGAATGAATGAATAATTTTAAAGTTTATAACTTGATTAGCTATATAAAGAAAAAACTTTAGCCGGGCATGGTGGCTCATGCCTGTTATCCCAGCACTTTGGGAGGCTGAAGCAGGTGGATTGCCTGAGTTCAGGAGTTTGAGACCAGCCTGGGCAACACGGTGAAACCCCTTCTTTACTAAAATATGAAAAATTAGCCAGGTGTGGCAGCGTGCGCCGGGAGACTGAGGCAGGAGAATTGCTTGAATCCAGGAGATGGAGGTTGCGGTGAGCCAAGATTAAGCCACTGCACTCCAGCCTGGGCGACAGAGTAAGAC